CGTATGAAGAGCACAAGGCATTCTCTCCACACTTTTGACTGTGGTGGACAGAACAAAAGCCCCTGTGGCACAATGGGTTAAACTACTTCTTGAAATGCCCATGTCCCATATCAGAGTGCTGGTTTGAGTCCCAGCTACTTCTAATCCAGCTTCCTGCTAATGCATTGTGGGAACACAGCAGATGTTCTTGGATCAAGCACTTGGATCTCTGCCACCCACATGGAAGACCTGGATGGAGTTCCTGGCTCCTGGCTTTGTCCTGGCCTACCCTTGACTATTGCTGGCTTTTGAACCAAATAATGGAATCTCTCTCTCTCTCCCCCACTCCATCATTCTGCCTTTCAAATAAGTAAATAAATAAATCTTTAATAAAAACAGCAATAGCTTCACTCCCAAGAAGTCCATCCTTCAATCCCTGAAGCTGTGAGCATGTTACCGTACATGACAAATGGTACTTTACAGGTGTGATGGAGTTAAGGATAGCGATATGGAACAATTATCCTGGATTATCCACACAAATCCATAAGGGTGTTAAAGGGGGAAGAGGGAAGCAAGAAAGTGATAGGGAAGGAAATGTGACAAGACAGTGTTGCGATTGTGGCCTGCCGAGAAATGCAAGAAGCCACTAGGAGGCTAAAACAGAAGAAGAGGATTTTCCCGGAGAGGTTCCAGGAGGAAAACCACGTGGCCGACATCTTGATGTCATCCTCATAAACATAATTTAGACTTCTGACCTCCAGAACTGTAAGATGATAAACTTTTGTTTTTCGTCTCTCCTTTGTGGTCACTTACTAGTAGTGATGGAGAACTAACAGTGACAAAAGTCATGAGTGCAGTAACCGCACAGCAGCCTTCTGGGTGTAATTGCTGGTTGACAGTTCCAGTCTATGAGACCCAGTGCTTCGCAGTCTAAATACTGCATCTGCACAAGGCCTAGATGGCTTGAAGTTTGGGCTTGGGATTTATCCCAATTATTTTAGATTTCACAAACCTACAACCCTTTGCCTCTATGAAACTGGCCAAGCTTGGGCATCCTATAAATAACTTGAGTAGAACTCTTAGAATTTGCTGGCTCCTGAGCTCCAGTGCAGGCACTGGAGAGATTCTTGCTGCCTGAACATCAACATCTCTACTAAGATCAGTCATCCATCCATAAATCTGCTGTGCCCGTAGCACTTAGGCCACTAAAACCGCTTGCAGCTCCCCTTTGTTCCTTGAGTCATCTGTCACCTGGCTTTTGTGACTGCAGTCCTTTCGAGAACACAGAATGCTGTTGAACTTTGTTCAAAGGAAGGAGTACACAATGGTAAAATGTGTGGGCAGAGGAAGACTGAGGAGGAAGAGGTAGGGGGAAGCCAGGAGGACTGGTTAGGAACCATTTCTCCTGCCAAAGGCTAGTGACAGTTCTTGCCCCTAGGCTGATTCTCATTCATATTTCAATCTTAATGAGTTTAACAATGCCACCATTTGTGAAGAACATGCTAGTTAGGAAATAAAAAGCTAAATTTAGGGGCCAGCATTGTGGCATAATAGGTTAAGCATCCATCTGCAGTGCTGATGGATGTGTGGGTGCCATTTGGAATCCCAGTTGCTCCACTTCCCATCCAGCTCTCTGCTATGACCTGGGAAAGCAGCAGATGATAGCCCAAGTCCTTGGGTCCCTGCATCTGTGTGGGAGACCCAGAGAAACTCCTGGCTCCTGGCTTTGGAAGGGCCCAGCTCTGACCATTGCAGCCATTTGGGAAGTGAATCAGCAGATGGAATACATCTGCCTGTCTCTCTGCCTCTGCCTCTCTGTCACTCTTTCAACTAAGTAAATAAATCTTTTTTTAAAAAAAAGATATAACCACGTGACCATTCAGAAAAAAGTCCTTTAAAAATAGTTGAATAAAAATTAAATTCAGAATACCAATTTTTTAATCAAATAATAAGATCCACGGAGAAAATGGATCTTACTTTACTTTCAGATATTTAATTATTTTGTCCCTTTCCTTCACCTATATACCAGAGCTTCATAATATCTTTGGTTCTTTTTAAACTTCTCCCAGCTCCTCTGGACAATGGAATGCAATACAAATATTGAAATCATATTTTAAGTTAAGCACTGTACTAGACATATATATTTAATCTGTCTGAAAGTCCATTAGATAAATGTGATGATCCCAATACACATGAGGGAAGTGGCTTCTACCAGATGTAGTAACTTGCACAAGGTCCCAGCTCTGGCAGCTTGGTTGATGTTCAGGCAGAGGCAGCACATCCAGGGTCCAACTCCAGTCAGGGGTCCTTCGATTAATCTGATATTTGTTTAGTACCTACTGTGTACTAGCACTGTTCAGTGTGTTTGGTACAGTGCTGAAGAAAACACACAAAAATTCCTGTCCTCAAACAATTTACAGTCCAGTGTGTTTAGAAGATCCTGGTTTTATTTAATTACTACCTTCAGACATTCAGACATACACAGGCATTATAATATTCTACTCTGATAGAAGCTTAATTCTGAGCAGCAGTCTAGTAACACTTTCCTTGGGGATCTGACTTCAACCTTTAACACAGGCCTCAAGGAAGCTTTTAAATTTAGACTTTCAGATAATTTATATGTTTTGACAAGAAGAGCTGGAATTATGCACTCATAGTTTGGGTTGTATTTCCATGATGATTCCCCAAGGTGGCAGCTAATTGTGCTTTTCTAGGGGAGTATGCCTGCCTGAGCAGTCCTGGACAAGACCAGGCAGTGCAGCTAACACAGGTTAGATACTCCTTAAATGTTGAATCAGAGCTTTAACTGAATGGAGTAATTTAAGAAATTCTTTCATATAGTAATTTCCACTGACCCAACACTTCTTTATATTTTATTTAAAAATTTTAAAAAAATATTTATTTATTTATTTGAAAGGCAGAGTTACAGGGAGGCAGAGGCAGAGAGAAAGAGAGAAAGAGAGAGAGAGAGAGAGGGAGAGAGAGAGAGGACTTCCATCTGCTGGTTCACTCCCCGAATGGCTGCAATGGCCGGAACTGAGTCAATCCAAAGTCAGGAGCCAGGTGCTTCTTCTGGGTCTCCCATGCAGGCACAGGGGCCCAAGGACTTGGGCCATCCTCTCCTATTTTCCGAGACCATAGCAGAGAGCTGGATCAGAAGTAGAGCAGCTGGGACTCCCACCAGCGCCAGCCCCATACCCCAAGACTACTAACATTACATTTTCATGCTGTCAGAAGTCTGGTAGATTTCTTGCAAACATTTTCACTTTTAAAATACTTTAACAGGGAGTGAGCAGAATAGCTATCAAAATTATTATTAACATCTATAGACATAATGAAGCAGATGAAAATTTTCTAACATCCACAGAAATATGAATACCTTGACTAAGAAGCACCAAATCACGAGCAGGCTTCAAAATCTCAAAGATGGAAATCTTGGAGCAGCCTGCCACCTTCAGGATAATGTTCCAATTAACTCCAGCAGAGCAAAATGGCTTTAATTCTACAAATTTTAAACACTCATGTGAAAATGTTTCCTGATAATCCATGGTGGAAGCTGTGCTCCTTCTAATAATGCTTTTGCTATGATTAAGCACTATATTTAATAATTACTTCTGTTTTCTTAAAACTGTCTCTTTGATTCTTATTTTTTCACTGCTTTGACTCAATTATCTCTCTTTTTAAAAGATATTTATTTATTTGAAAGGCAGAGAGAAAGAGAAAGAGAGAGAGAGAGAAGAGAGAGAGAGAGAGAGAGAGTATGAATGAAGCCAGGAACTAAGAAATCCATCCAGGTCTCTTACATGGGTGGCAGGGGCCCAGTACTTGGGCCATCTTCCACTGCTTTCCCAGGCGCATTAGAAGTTGGTTGGGAAGTGGAGCAGCCAAAACTTGAAATGGGGCTCTGATAGGGCATGCTGGCATTGGAAGCAGCAACTTAATCTGCTGTGCCCCAATGCTGGTCCCGATTCAATTAACATCAATTCTCTTCTCACTTTAAATTGGCCAAAAACAATCCATCTACCTTATTTCATGAAGCAGAGCTGAGAATACCAAAACCAGGTTTTGTTTTGCTATTCTCAAATACCAAATATTTTAACTTTAGATACACTACTGCTTTCTTCCTGGTGGATTTCTTTTATTGTGGATTAATCACAATATTTCCCAAGAATCTTAAATAAAAGCAGCACTATTGTACCAGAAATGGAAAGGAGAGAAAGAAATGGATGGATAGAGGGAAGGACACACACACACATACACACACACAGAGAGAGAGAGAGAGAGAGAGAGAGAGAATATGAATCTAACACTCAGTTTTCCCTAGCCCTGTACGGGCTGTTTCTTTCATTAAGTTACACAGAGTTCTCCCAGAAGTACATAAAATGAGAGAGGCAGACGAAAGAAGAAACATTGGAGAAAAATTAGGAGACTCAGTATTTAATAGTATGGAGAAATAAATTAGTAACAAAAATACAGAGGGCAAAGAAAACATACACTAAAATCAATAGCTTTAGGTCAAATGAGTTATGAGAGTAGGATGTGAAATCTAATGGAAAAAGGGAATATGGTGGCTGGAAATGCATCAGGCAACGGGACAGGAAATGAAGAATGGCCCAGAATATTCATCAAGAATGAATATCCCTACATTATTTTTCTTCAAAATCAATTTCCTCATGACTTTGATTTTCAGTTCTTGACTGCAATATTGGAATCACGTGGGAAATCCTAACTAACGCCAGGGCTCAATGTGAGAGTTAAATAAGTTAAATAAATAAATAAATCTGAGAGTTATAAGTCTGGAGTGGTGCCTAGCATGAAATTGTGTTTTATCTTCTTCCGTGACTCCACGGGCTCCAACGTTGAAAACCTGGCCTTAGGCCCCACCCCCGAGTGTCCCGGGGAGGAGCCACTCCCTTTGAAACGATGGAGCCTGAAACGCGCTGTGTGGCCTCCAGACCACGAGAGGGCGATGAGCGCACATTTAGCACTCGCTTCCCGGCCCGCTCGACGCTATACGTGCGCATGCTCCGTGCGCTCCAGAGGTCGTCCGCGCCGGTGTTTTCCCACGTGCGCAGTGAAGCTAAGGACATCATGTCCTAAAGAGATGGGGGCTCAGGTGGTTCGGGCGATCAGGAATTTCAACCTGGAGAACCGAGCGGAACGGGAAATCAGCAAGATGAAGCCCTCTCCCGCTCCCAAGCACCCCTCCACCAAGAGTCTTCTCAGAGAACACTTGAGCCGTGAGTGGCGCGGGGGCGCGTCGGGGCGCGGGGTCCCGGTGCGGCCGGCCGGGCTGTTCCGCCCGGGGACCTGGATCCGCAGGTCCGCCTGCTCGGCCACAGCGGCTCGGGTGGGCAGGGCGCGGGACGGTGGAGGCGCCGGGTCGGTGACATTGACGCTGTCCTCGCCCGGGGGCGGGAGACCGGCGAGGACAGTCCCTGGCCGGCCTTGGTGGTTCATGCGTGGCGACTGGGTACAGAGAATCCAAGGGAGCAGGGGGCCGCGTGCAGCCAGGTCTGCTGCAGGTGTCTTCCCAGAACGAAGGACGCCGGGCCCTGAGGGCCTAGTGTTTTGACGTCGATTTAAAAGGTTTCCTGAACTGCCCAAAGATTGTTTATTAAAAAGAAGTTGAAGTGACTGTTTTGTGTGCTTTTAGAATCTGAGGGAGTTCTCGCCTTTCATATATTGTGACTTTTCCTTCTCTTTCCACCCAGACCATCCAGAAATTAAGGGAGAAATTGCTAGAAAAGATGACAAGCTGCTGTCGTTACTAAAAGATGTGTATGTTGATTCCACAGATCCTGTGACTACCGTGCAGGTAATGTGTATTTAAAAAATTATTTGAAATGTAAATGTTTAGTTTTTACCTTCCGATGTGATTTGTAGATACAATTCTAAGAACTGAATGGTATTCCCCTCTTACTCTCTCCCTCCTTTCCTTTCTCCTTCTCTTTTTAGTTTTGAGATGACATTTTAAAATTACATTACAGTAAACAGTCTTAATACTTCACCAAATAAGTTTAACAAGTAAAAAGCAGAAAGACCCCAGTTTAGTAGGAATATAGACAATAGTTATAAACAATAATGGAAACATGACCATTTTACCCATTTACAGTAAATTTTAAGGTAATCACAGATCATTAAAACTGTAGTAGTATATAGAATTCTTAACCACTGGTTTGACAAAGGCATAAAACAAAGCTTTACAAAACTGTTTGCAACAATACTGATACACACATTTTTAAAAAAATGTAGCGCCCACATAAAAGGGAAAACATGCGGTATTTGTCTTTCTGGGTCCAGTTTATTTCACTCAACCTAATGTCCTCCAGTTGAGTCCATTTTGCTGCAGATGGTAGACTTTCATTCTGTTTTACGGCTGAATAATATTCCATTGTGTGTGTGTGTGTGTGTGTGTGTATACACATATACCACATTTTCTTTGTCCATTCATCTGATGATGGACACCTTAGTGGGTTCCAAATGCTGGCTGTTGTGGACAGCGCTGTGATAAACATGGTGGTGCAGGTATTACTGATACATTGTGTTCAGTCTTTTGGCTATAAGTCCAGTAGTGGGATTGCTGGATCATATGGCAGTTGTATTTCTAGTTTTTTAAGAAATCTCCACACTGTTTTTCACAAGGGCTGCACTAGTTGACATTCCCACCAGCAGTGTATAAGTTGTTCCCTTTTCTCCACATCCTCGCCACCATTTGTTATTGTCTTTTGGACTATAGCCTTTCTGGACAGGGGTTAGGTGATGTCTCATTGTGGTTTTGATTTTCATTTCTTTGATGGCTAGTGATGTTGAGCATTTTTCGTATATTTGTTGGTCAGTTGTGTTTCTTCTTTTGAGAACTATTGAAGTCCTTTGCCCATTTCATAACTGGATTGGTTGGTTTTTTGTTGTTGAGTTTTTAAGGTTGTTGATATGTTGGGGATATTAATTGTTTGTCAGACAGGTAGTTTGCATATATCTTTCCCACTCTGTTGAATGTGGCTTCACTCTATTGATCATTTCCTTTGCTGTGTATAAACTTTTTTTTTTTTTTTTTTTTTATCTTTTATTTAATGAATATAAATTTCCAAAGTACGACTCATGGGTTACAATGGCTTCCCCCCCCATACCGTCCCTCCCACCAACAACCCTCCCCTTTCCCACTCCCTCTCCCCTTCCATTCACATCAAGATTCATTTTCGATTATCTTAATATACAGAAGATCAGCTTAGTATACCTTAAGTAAGTATTTCAACAGTTTGCTCCCACACAGAAACATAAAGTGAAAAATAATAGATGATTTTTTTTAAATGATGATGAAATCAGATCAGACCTATTGTCATGGTTAATCCCAGGGAGACACAAGTTGGGAATGGAAAAGGTCATTCCTTTGTTGGGAGGGCCTTTATTTCTGTTTTAATTTACAGAAGATCAGTGTAGCGGACATTAAGTAAAGAGTTCAGTCGGTTGCACCCCCATAGAAAC